GAGAAAAAGAGAGAAAGAGAAAGGACAGCGAAAGAATAAAGACTAAGATGGAGAGGGACATAATGAAAACCCAGAAAGAGAGAGAGAGAGAGAGAGAGAGAGAGAGAGAGAGAGAGAGAGAGAGAAAGAGAGAGAGAGAGAGAGAGGGACAGTGAAAGGATAAAAACCAAGAGGGAGAGAGGAAGGGAGAAAGAAAGACAGACAGACAATGAAGACCGAGAAACAAAGATAATGGAGACACACACACACACACACACAGAGAGAGAGAGAGAGAGAGAGAGAGAGAGAGATCGAAGACACATATTTAATTCATCGGTTCATCCCATTTATGTTCCCTCCTCTTATGCAGCAAGAGAGAAAGAGAGAGAGAGATGGAGAGAGAGAAGGAGATGAATACCAAGAGAAAGAATGAAGACTGTGTGAGCAAGTAGTGAATGAGTATGTGTGTAAGAGAGAGAGAGAAGGTGGGGGGGGGGGGGGGCAAGAAAATTTCATGGTATAATAGTTTATTGTCCTGATGGATCATTTGAAGATGGAAAGATGCATCATTGTGTGTGTATTGTAAAAGGTGTAGGTTGTTGGACGTACAGATGGACAGAGACTGGGCTGGTGCTAGGGATGATGAGTAAAGAACATTTTGATGAAAAATGAGTTTTCTAACGAACGAGGTATCGTCTGATTGATGAGAATAGATTAGCAGATGAGTTGATTGATGAGAAACGGTTGCTTGACGAAGAGATTTTTAAAAAAGTAGCGGTTCAAAGAAATGGCTGCCTTTTAATGTCCTTTTTATAAGTTACATCAGCAGTTGAGTCAATTAGTGAACATTTATGTCCTAGGGGCTGAGGTGCGGTTTTATAGTCAAATGATGAAAATACACTGGGCAGATAAAATGAGTAATGAAGATATCTTAAGTGAGAACTGATTGCCCATATTTTTAGGAGACAATCTCCAAGTTTTGATCGTGCCAGGACAAGAGCAAAACTGGAGTACATTGTGACGGTGGAAAGTTGGAGGGGAAATTTGACAGACGGTGACCAAGAGAGAAGGTGCTGGACAGTTTAACATCATGTTATGAAAAATCATCTCTGTCAGAACTTATTGAAAGTACAGGAGACAGAAGGTTGTGGATGGTAATGACTACCAGCGTCACACGGCACAAATTATGGAAGATCATCAGTGTCATAATTTATTGTAAGTACACGAGACAGAAGATTGTGGATAGACATGACTACCAGCTCATACGGTATGGATTATGGAAAAATCATCAATGTCAGAATTGATTAAAAGTGCACGAGACGGAATATTGTGTGTGGTCGCAATTGAGGAAGGTCGTCAGTCTCATAGGTCATGACTAAACGAATGAACAGTTAGATGGGCCGAGACATTCATTAATTCAATAACACACACACACCTAGATTGAGTCTGTGGGTAGGGGGGTTTGGGTTAGGGTCAGTTATACATGTTTTTGGGTCGTTGAAAGCTGTGTCGTCCTGTAGTGTAGATTTTTGAAATCGGCGCTAATATAATTGGAGGGAAGACATCGTGACACCCCTTCGACGTAGAAGAGTCTAAGAGAAGTTTGAATTAAAGGTTATTTAGCGTCTAGATGGGCTGGGAAACGTGAACAGGACTGACAGCGGGTTTCATGGCTAAACATTATGTTCAAGAGGAAACTGGTAATGAGGCATGGTAATCCCAGTTGCAATATCACAGCAAACAAGTCACCCCTAAAGTGGCTCCGTTTCTGTGGCAAATAAAACCACACTGAATATCCATTACTGTCTCTAGTGAAAATACAATTAACACACTGCAGTCTTAGTAAAGCCAGTAGCATCCACACGCATTAAATGCATAAAGTAGCCGTCATAAGTGCCAACACAGACAGTCCGTCACTAGAAATGGATTCCATCGTTGATGGAAGCAGAAGTTGTGACATAGCAATAACTGCACAGGCAATTAATTGCTTAAACTTCACGAGTTCTCTGGCAACAGGCCACTCGTCATATTCTGAATCTGCAGTTCACAACAAAAACCACTTTCGGCACCTTCGAAAAGCATTCCACGGGAAATCTGCAGCTCACAGTGTCTCGCGAAGAACTTAGGGACTTGACTGTGAAGCTGGGCGACGGAACTTTATTCGTTCTGTCTACATATGGAGGAAAATATACAATGGTTAACGATTGCCAGAAACAAAAACCTGCCACGACTCAAAGTATTAAGCCTGCTTATCTGCTACATTGATTCGCCATATTGATCTGCAATATTGAACTGGTATGAATCCCCAGTGTCCGCAGCTGACACCGTGTCTGATACTCTGTGTGTGCCTTGTGATGCCCACGGCTCCCCCCCCCCTCTTCTGCCCCCAGAGCCTTCTGTCACTTCTCACCACTGGATGAATTACTATTGTTACCACGCCACCTGGGAATCCTAATGGCGTAGTCGATAGCGTATTGTTTCTAAAAGCCCTGTTGCAGATCTGGTTCTGGCAAGACTGTGC